CGAAACATTAAAAAAAAAAAAAAAGAAAAAAAAAAAAAGAAAAAAAAATAAATAAATGAACCACACCGTGAGAAAAATTGGACGAAAACTTTTCTACACTAAAATAATTGAATTGAACAACACAAATGCACGGTTCGACACACTTTCTGTTTTATCTGGATTTTGATATGCAGTTTATTCGAACTGGTGAGATTCAGTGCACAACCGCACTGAATCAAACAAAATTCAAAGTCGAAGTTTTGAAAAACTATAACCGTGCCGCACCGTGAATATAGGAAAATCCAAACCAAAGTGATCTTAACCGATATTTTTTACATAAAAAAAGCAAACTAAACTGCATCGAATTGCACCACGATTTGGCCCGATTTTTCGATTTCGACATGATTTTGCTCACTCCTACGTATACATGGTCACTCTGCCGAACAAGTCTGGTCAAGCCCCTTGACAGCAAGACTTGAGGTTTGCTTAATTATTTTTGTGAACCGTCGTTTTCAGTTTGAACTAGAATCGGCCAGACAAAACTAGTTGATTATTATTCTTCTTTCTTCTTGTTTCGAAATTTCATTTTAAAGATTTTTTTTTTCCGATTCTGGGCCGAGCCCCAAATTGGAACTGCAAAAGATCAAATCTAGACCGTTAAATTTTTTTACCATTGGAGAACCATTGGCTCATTGTTTTTCTTAATGTAAACAGTTCTGGATCAGGCCGGTTCGGAATCGGAACATAACGATTACTATCCTACTCAAAGTCAACCTCAATGGACGACCGTCGACGGGGTCGACAGTTGACATCAAACATGTTCATAAGACACTTCAGGAAGATGCTAAATACAAAAAATGTGACAAATATTTTGTATATATTTGCAACCACTATCCGCCGAACACCAAGAAGAGGTACTCTTCAAAACCAGCTACTGACTCACATCGTCATTGTCGTGAATATGAACTTGTGAATATGAACATCAACTAGAAACTTGTGAATATGAACATCAACTAGAAACTTTTTTCAAGAGTCCTCATTGTCGTGATTTCAATATAACCGTTACTGCGGAAAATTGGACAAATTGTATAACAATTATAAACTTTTAAGAAAAAAATCAAATTTCTACTAACATATTTTCTGGTGTTTACCATCTTACTGCTCAACTTGTGTTAGCTCAATGTGTAGACATAATGATGGGTTTTAGAGATAATTCTGCCAGTGATACTGCCAGACATGTCGAACTTGTAAGAGATATGTTAAGAAAATAGGTAAAATATTATTTTTACATTCGCAATACATTTTTAGTTGCATATTTGTTAGATCCATCACTACGTGAAAGTGACTTAGTCAGCCAACTCCATAGTTATTATGATATTATGTATCAATCCCCATTTCCTTATAATGTTATTACTATCATTGAAAGATCTAACTCATGGTTGCTCCTCGAGCACACAAAAGTTTTATTGTATGAATTGTATAAGAAAACAACAATCAGTCGAAAAAAATTCGGCATCATTTTTTTTCTGCTTCCTGGTCTTTTTCTTATTCCCATTATCACAAACGACACCGCAAATAGGCTCAAACTTTGGTGACCGATAGTTGTATTATAATCCATACAAGAATGCTAAGATTCAAAAGGCAGTCGATACTAGATATGATGAACTTGATCACTACCTAATCTCGAATCTCAAACTTACAATTGTCAGACATCAATTTCGCCACTCACATTTGATGTCTTGGATTTTTGGTAAAAAATGAGTGCCACTTATTATGTTTCATTCTTGATGACCACGGAAGTTTTTGTTGTCCCGCCCTCAACTGTGGCGATTCAACTAGCATTTAATTAGTGAGGGAGGATATACACTAGACGCACAATGATCGAAGTTGATGCTACAAAATTTGGAGGCTCAAATGTCGTTGAGTGATTGGAATAAGGCCGAACGAAGGTAACAAATAGCCATGCTAATTAATAATTACCGAAGAGAATGACGAAATAAAGCAGGATGATTTTACTAGTACTAATGGAACTGCATAACCGAAGACGACTACGAGACCTACTGTTAGTTGAACATTCAACACAATCTGCCGTCTTTTTTTATCAAGGTAAGTAAGAGAACTACGAGAATTTTGGTTCTCGAGGTAGGAGATATATAAGCAATTTAATTGACATAAATATGTTAAAATATTTTTTTTCAATTTAAATGATATTTGAACTTATTATATGTGAACTAAACGCAAGTCAATTTTTTTAAACCCCCCTCTAGTTTTTTAATAAATATGTCAGGATATCGGTTCAGTGCAAATACGGCACAAAATAGACGGGCTGATTATGAACCGTCAACTGGCACGTATATATATATATATAAAATGCAAAGTTGAACCAGCGGTTTCCAATTGAAACTGGTCCGTAACCAGTTTACACCTTGTCTACCCCTACTCTCATTTGAATGGCGCGTTGAGCGCGCGTCGTGGTGAATTGGGTGGTATTTGGTTATGGAGCTGAACAAAACTTCAATTTTTTCGTTTTAAATTTATAACATTATTTTAAATAATAATATATCAAATTTTAATTTGATGCTTAATTTTCAGATAAATGTGTGACTCGAGATATATGGCATGTCAAGACAAAGGAAAAGTGTATCTTTCTGGATAG